TAAACCAAACCAAACCCCGATATACACATGTTATCAGTGCATACATAATACCGCCAAACAAATGTGTATTTGAAGGTGACAGAAAACAATAAATTCGTTTGCACATAGTCTCAATTTATCAATTTGTCACAGACGCCTCGTTTTAATCTAACAAACAAGTCGTTGTCACAGTTGATGTCATAATTTCGAGTCAGTGATTATTTTGTGCCAGGTTGAAGTGGATGCATGCTCTGGAAATGTTTGGATATGTATATGCACGTGTGGACCCTCATATTATCGCATATGTTCACGGAACATTCAAGGTTAAACATCTGACAGAAAAGCGTTTTGTGTGTCCTGATAGGAACATTATGCATGTGCGTTGTACTTCTGTTTATATACCTTGAAAATTATTAGAAAATCGTGTTCAAACATTTATTCATTTATGTTTGAAAATTCCTGTTTAAATACCAATATTTCAACACTTTCTATTAAGATGTTAAAAAGTCTGAAAAATGAACATTTATTCATAATTCTGTATTTTGCTTTTCATGTAACTTATGGGACATAACTCGCAGGACAATGACTGGTTGAAAGACTAGAAACGTTAACAAAAATTTAACAAGTATTCGAATTTAAATAGGGCATTATCGCTATCATAAATTTCTTTTTGTTTGTTATTTACAAACTACTGACCGAATTTTTAACAAAGCAATCATATCGCTCATTCCATTCTTGCGCAATTAGCGTACATTATGTTGCTTTAATAAATTCTAATAAATTACACACAGAGATATTAACACACAAAAAAAGCTGTCGTTCCGTCTTCAAGAACAAGTTTAAATGAAGATCTTGTATCGAAGCCTTAAAACAAAATAAGCATACAGTAAAGTTCGAACTCGTGGGGACCAGATTAATAGTTCGAAGAATACATGCTATTCGACGAATCCGAGGTTCTTCCGGCATCGTTTTGAACAGGTGGGACAACAGACAGCACACGCACCGCAAATAGATTAAATAAGTAAACACAAGTTCAATGAAGATGACAACATTTAATAAGATATAAAATTGCTCAAAACTGAAAACATATAGGCATCGGTATTTAGGAATGAAGTAAAATGAAGAAGCAGTAGTAATGTGACACGTACTTGTCGTTTAGACAAAGTATGCCATACTGTATTCGGCTACGTTAATTAGACAAATTTGAAAACGAGAGGAACACTTCGATCATTTCAAAATTATGAGATCTTGAATCCCTGTTTTTATAATGTTGATTTCTAACAAAAGAACTATCTCCACGTATTCAGGAATGAATATCGTTCAAGGTGGTCGGGAATCCGCTGAAACATCGATGCCAAAGATCGCAGGGAAATAATAATAATGTACACACAATGATAATGCATCTACAACAAGGTAACGGTACAGTTACTTAATGATACTGCCGTAAATCCTCTAGTTATCTGACATCCGGCTGACACCTGTATAAACGCAATGTCAGTTCGAGTAATCCAAGGTTAATTAACATAGAATACATAAGAACATGGTCGGGACAAAGCAAACTCTTCGGGGAACAGGTTTTTTCGAGTAATGCGAGTTCGAGTAAGTGGGGTTTCACTGCATACCTGCCGATAGTCGCTGAGTCAAGGGTCTGCCTCGCTGCCTGCCGCTGAGACAAACTCGCCTCGCCTTCAGTTGTTTTATATTTCGAATGTGGCCGGTTGTCGCCACTAGCCAACGACATACGTACTTTGCTATTTTCCAATACCTTGCTTCCAAATTTAACAGGTTTAGCTGATATATATTGCTTAAAGCTAAGGCTCCCATTATAGGCTATCATCGCCTCATCAATAGCACAAAATAATCTCCTACTTGGATAATGTTACTCCACCTTAAATCATTTGACCCTTCCTTCAATCATTTGACTCCTCATTTGACTCCTCCTTTGACTCCTCCTTCAGCCATTTGACACCATTTAATTATTTTACTCCTCCTTAAATCGTTTGACTCCTCCTTCAGTCATTTGACTCCTCCTTCAACCATTTAACTCTCCTTCTTCAATAATTTGACTCGTCATTCAATTATTTAACTCATCCTTCAATCAATAGACTCCGCATTCATCCTTTAATAATGTAAGTGTATCTACTTCGTCTGTAGCTGAAGAAGACAAGGATGGGATGGAACAAGGAGATACATGACGCACACAACAGGAATACGTTCACCTAGTGGATAAAAAACAGTTGATCAATGAAGATTGCCGTAATAAAATAAACATTGATACCTGTTTGTTAAATCCAGTTCAAAATTATACGGTCATTTGTTTTATTAGAACTGTGTGGATGCTTAAGAAGACTAATAAACGCTTCAATTATCACATCTAATGTTTTATCATTTGATTCAAGAAAAATCATATCTATACATATCAGAGCTTACTAACGCAATGTTACTCCTTAAATAGTATGGGCTATCGGAATTGACGGACTCGTATAAAGCTTTATAACACGTGAAAGTGATGTTTTTAGTCTTTTTATCTTTCCTTTCATTATGATTTAAAAGATTATCTGGTATTCACATTCATCACAAAAATGAGAATTTTTCGAAAATTACTACTTACAGTTTACTTTATTTTCATTACAATGACAATGCCTCATAAATAACCGTATTTCATGGAACAATTGGCGGCAGACCAAAGATTTCAGCTTCAGATAATACTTCTGTTCCGAAAAAGTTACAATTTGCCTTTATACCTACAACTGTAATCAGTAACGTATGTGCATATATTTTATCGAGGGAAATCTACACAACGACAGGGTCTTTTTATCCGTTATATACAGCTTGGCATAGGATTGTTTTGTCCTCCTTTCGATATGATATCGGTAAGGGGAGATAACTTACGTGTGTCATTGCCCCAACATATTCCTCCGTCCAAGCAAACAGGCCATACTGAATCATGGTCAAAATCCCAGAAATAGAAACAGCCATTCCGTATACCATGCTTATGTATTTCATGGGAAATCTGAAATGATACACGTTTCCATTGCATTTTAAATCATTTGTGATTGGTAAGTTGATTCTTTAGCTGATAATTCACAAAACGCGGAAATCGCAAATTATATTTCATCAAGAGTTTTTTTTTAAACCTGTAGCAAAAGTGTCAAAGACATGTACTTGTATCTCTTTCGCCGATGTAGATCCTTGTTTGTTTATCATCTGATTACGTTATGCACCCACGCGAAAACAAGTAATCGCAGTTGAAAATATATTCTGCACAATATGTGTATATGATTGGCTTAATGTCAGTGTTGTGTGTAGAATTCATATCAATCATATAAACCATGACAGAAATAAATTGGTTACGAAATAATGAAAACGTAAGAAATGAATATCATTATCCGCCAAAAACCGGAAGTGCCAACATGTCTTACGGAAGTGGCGTTTCTTGCACCATATGCGGTATACATCATATGTGACGAATTAAATCAGTAAAATATATCTAGCCTTCTTATTAGGAACAAAATGCTATATACATTCTACGACTTACGCGATTCTGATGTACTGTACGTGAATGCTATAGACGAAAGATCGGAGAAAGGTCAGCACGACGAAGTCGACATACAACGCTGTCGGTGTGGATATAAATGCTAGGGCAGACAACAGAATCGTCAAACATGACGTCACTGCAAGGGGGATCACTGTCCTCATGATACCTGGAGTTAAACACCACAAACATCCACGACAATAACGAAAAAATATCAAACAAGCGTCTAACAATTAAGTACATATATTTTATTGTAAATTTAAGACTGATTGTAAACATACTTTTTTTTGTTCTTTATTTTCTCTTTTTTTCTTCCTTTCTTTGTCAATTTTAAGAAAGGGAAATTATAATATATTGCCATGCAATTGTGACCATTACATAACGTAAACTACAATGAAAGACAATACAACAATAGTAATCTAACATTTTATTAATCTGCAATTGTTATCTGACACCTTACGTTGTATAGTCCCTACAACGCATGTCATTCTGAAATATGTTCATAGGACATATCATTGACAAAGGCGCTGTTTTTAATGTTGAGCGTTCGCCCAGGCGAGGAAGATAATGGGTTCTGTTCCCAGGCCGGAAAATATCTAAAGTCCTAAATAATGCTAGTTATTGTTCCCTGCTTAACGTTCAGCAGTGAGGGTAATGGCAACAACT